AACTCCGCCGGTGATCAGTGTCAGCAGCAGCTGACTTGGTACGCTTGGGGTTCTTAAGTTGAATCTGTATTTAAGTCAGAACTGGAGGTCAGTTTCAGCAGCGGCTGAATCTGGACGCCAGTTCCGACTTACATACAGATTCAACTTAAGAACAAACCTACAGTCCCTATCTTGTACGTAACCCGGGGACTGCCTGTACTGAAAGCCAGGATTCAAAGCCTTATGGGATGAGTCAACCCAAGAGACTGCTTGCTGCCTTGTGCTCCATTATGGTAGCTCAGATATGCAGGGCTGGAATTAATGACCATCCCAAAATAAAATCTGAAGAGTGTGGTAGCCTTCTCTTCTCACCATAATTATTTGCTTCCTTCCAACTCTGGTGATGTTTTGCAAGTGGTTTGTTCTATGCTGAAGTGGGAAATATTGGTTCTTTTTATCTCTTTCTTTCTGTTCTCAGCTTGATAAGCAGGTTCCTCCATTGGCCAACACTGTATATTCAATCTTTTTTTTTTCTTGAGATGCCTCTATGCTTTCAGATATAGGTACTAAAATATTACAGCTAATATTAAACTGCCTCCTCTCAGAGGAGATGTAGAATACGAAAACTGGGCAGTATCCACATGAGTCAGTGTGTGCTTGGAAGGTTCTGGAAACATCAGCACAAGAGCCTGCAAGGCAGCTACTGCTCCCTTGTCTTCTGCAGATGGTCCAACGAACATTACTTGGGCATTATACCATGTTAAAAACCTTCTACTTTCAAAACATGCATGATGGCATGATTTCCTATAGGAGACCGTGTCAAAGTAGCTGATACAATAAGAGTAGGCAATTTCTAGGAGTTATTAATGGAAACTATCTCCTTACAATGCCAAATGGTTCCCTGCAGTCTATGATAGTACAATCGGAGGTAGTAGCTCTGAAACTGTTTTGTGTCACATCCCTGAAGAAGTCACTATTTAGAGTGAAACACTGATCCTGAGTCATCCACTTTCATAATGCTCAATCCCAAGTAGGGCTACATAACATTCTGTCTTTAAAGTTCAGTATTAGTGACCCCTCTGCCTCTCATATGGAATTTTTCCACTTTTCTTGCTGCTGGAATGTCCAATTCCCTCACAACCTTCAAGGCCCTCTCCTCCCCCAGTAAAATGCAGGTGCTACCTTAGAGACAGGAGAGACAATGGGACCACAGAGACTGTGCTCAATCTCTGCTGTCGGCGTTTTCAAGCGACCTATGCCGGCTACAGGGTGCAGCTTCCTCGCAGTTATGTTTGCAGAAGCTGTGGAGTGAAATAAAGAAAGTGATGTTAAATTCAAGATCTGACGCCACACCTGTGGAACATAGTTCATGATCTCATTCTTGGCTCAAACAGGGAGTAAAGAACTATATACATAAATGAAGGTTACTTACCAGGCACTGGAGTCCTTTGAGACAAGCCCTTGAACATCCACACTTACAAGATCCAAGTGCCTTAAGTCACAGAATCTCCTAATTAAGAGTGTCCATTGGGGCTCCTCATTTCCACTTTTTGCACTAGCACAGGGTTTTACAGGTTTAAAAGGACTTGCAGTCCCATTCACTCCTCAGTTCCTTCTGTTCATTCAGGAATTGTGAAATAAAGCCCCAAAGACACAGGGAAGGTGTGTAGAGGAATATGAACATGCTGAGGCACATCTCAAAGAACTTCTGTTACCAAGGTAAGTAACCTTCATTTTTTCAAATGGTCGCCACACATTCTTATTTGTGGGAGTTTAACTAGGAGTACCACCTCAAGGAAGGAGGACTGAGGAGTTCTAAATTAACAAGGACTGCAAAAATGCCCAAAAAAGTGTCACATCACGAGTGACTACAACCTGTTATTCTCCCTAAACATGCCACAATTAAAGAAAGACTCTTGAAAGCATATATATAGCTTCAAAGAGCAGCCTCGCAAACTGGGGTTAAAGGCCACGTGAAGTTATCCTATGGAAACCATATTAAGGCCTAGTTGAGCATATTTTGATATCTTCGGGTGGCTGAACACCACCTTGTCATAACAATGGTCTACATTTGGGCAACGTTTGAGCTTTGCTGGAAAGATCTCCAATCCCAATATGTTACCAAGATCTGTTATCCAATATATACAAGCTAAGCATAGTACATTCCACATTAATAGGTATTATATGTACGGTATTGATAGAACAACACTATATATTGGGTTTGGGAAGTTAAATTCACGTATGCTCTTCCCACAGTTATGTTCACCTTTGTCAAGCATTCCACAGTACTTTGCACTGCTGAAGTCAGCATTAGACAATAGATTTGTACAAAGCATTCATGCATCTTTGGCTTTGACCAAGTACAGATGGGGCATACTTTCATAGCTCATCAAAACGTGGAATGCAGCATTCAACACTAGATATCAGAAACTATAGATCAGTACAAAGGACAAAGCTGGCAGCTAAACGTTTTTTGTGTGTAAAGAGTTTTGTAACTTGTAAAGTCATTCATAAATATTAGCTGAAATATATATCTCTGCAGCACACCTTCTACATGAGGTGAATGTGCTGCAAGAATCTGCTTCATAGGAGGAGGGTATTTAAGTTTCTTTTTCATATTTTACTGTTGTGTCTTTAAACAATCAATTTGGTTATTTGATCTCTTGAACATTTTTAAGAAAAAGCCATGAATACAGACAAACAATTGGCTACATCTTTTAGTCCACACACTCCATAAGCCATTAGTTTTGGGAGAGCACTTGAAGATACAGCCAAATCTAAGATCCATGAATATTCAACATATGGAGTCAGAGTTCCTGGATATGGATCATTAGGGGAGGCTAATGATCTGAATAAGATGGACACAAGAGACCATCATAATCAAGATTTAGGGAGTGGATGCTGCAGAATAGTACATTTTCAGAATATGGTATATGGACAATTAGTCCTTTAGGCCTGGATCTTATTCATTCTCCAGGCTGGAAGAACGGAAATATTTCACCACAGTATCCTCAGCAATGGAAAATCCATTTTCCTTTGCTACAGCCATTGTGACAAAGCAACTACCACAAGCTATTCCGGTGGTGTACAGAACCACCATTTTATTGATTTGGTTATTGGAGAGTGATCAAAAATTGATTATCTGTGTCCCAGAGGGTGGGAAGCTCACAACAACAACAAAAATGTGCCTCAAGATAGTCCAAGTTAAAAGCAAAGGCGAACTGTTCAAATTCCACTTAATGTTGTGCTTCTCTGATGAATTTTTCCAGTTAATTGATAGCTGTATTTGGTCAAAATTCTTCTGTTCTTCAATTTCTCATCTGCCAGGAAAAGATGGTAGCTGCATCCCCAGGAAAAAGAAACCTTGACCCAACTGGCTAGATCAAGCCACCCTTTGTCATTTTCTGTAATACATTAGTGTGATGTTGTCCATCAGACTTTGGACAAATCTAAATTTAACCTCAAGACTGAGCTCCAATAAACTGGAGAGTTATAGCCGATGGAGGTCACAAGTGTGAAAAACAACTTGAGTATCATGGTAAGAGAGACTCTTGTCTTTCACAGTTAAGCATCTTCAATGTCCTCTGAGACAGTGTGGCTCACATTTTCATTGCATCAAGATGATGTGGTGGTAAGCAATCTGTATTCGCTCAGGAACCTTTTTTAGGTTTGGAGTCTGAAGCACCAATGATCCCATCTTTTGTGAAGGGATGAAAAGGAACTATTTATAGCAGATTCCAAGGACTAGAACAGCATGCATGTTTCCTGAGGACTAAACTGTACCTATATACACAGATTCCCTAACATCTGAGAGAAATAATTAGGATAGTCAAGCAAATAGTGAAAACCCTTTGTGTCAAAGAGAGGCTAGCTTTATTGGTAATGTCCTCTCCCACTACACAAGCCAAACAAGATCAAGACATAAAACAGGACTCTTTGCTAACTGGCTGTTCTTTGGCAGGAAAGAGGCAGGAACAAAAGCCTAGATCTTTGGAAAGAAATAGCATGAAGTTACCTTTCACACAGACTACCTGTCACCTTATGCTTCACTGGAAATGCTTCTCAAAGGAGGGACAGGACTATAAAAAAGAAGGGGCAGAAACTCCAAGGCATTACCTCCTTCTCCCTCCTTGACCATTGATTTACTGCATGAGACGGGACCTAGGCTATGTCTACATTAGCACTGAAGTTAGTATAAATATGTCCCACATGCATATGAAAAAAACAGTTTTCCCCACCCCCAGTAGCATGAATTACAGACAGAAGCACCAGAGTGGACAGTGCTAGGTTAGTGGGAGCAGCTTTTCAGGAGCTGCTAATGCTGCTCTTAAGGGAAGGTTTAATTAAGCTGATGGGAGAGCTGTCTCCATTGGCACAAAGTACCTACATGGGAGATCTTACAGGGGCACTGCAAACTCTTTAGTGTAGACGCAGCCAAATAAAGCAGCCATTAAAAAGAAGGGATCCTGGCCTAAGAAGTTTTACTAGTAAGACTGTTGAGAACATGTGGTGAGAAGAACTTTGCTTTGAATTTAACATAGCTTATTAAATTAGGCACTAGTTGCATTTTATCTTTATTTTCCATTTCTGACTTTTATGCCTCATTGTATTTACTTAAAACCTTGTTCTTCATAGTCGATCTCTTTTTTTATTGTTTTATTTAATCCATTGTGCTAAACAGAAATGTCGGGAAAATTCCATATGGGGTAACCATGTACATATCTATTAAAGAAATATAGACTTTATATGAATTTGTATTGTGCAGGGGTAGGCAGTATAGGACCTATATTTCTGGTGGAAAAAGCCAGTTCCCCCCAGCACCATCTCCAGGATGGGGGGAGAAAGGCAGGGGAGGCAGAGGCATAGCAGGGTACCCAGCACCGCTCTTACTACATTTAAAAAACAGAGTTGCATCAGTCCCAGAGCCCATCCCGAGGAGCTACCGTAACTACAGTTTAGTCCATTGACTACTTGATTAGCTTATTAACCGCTACTTAACATCCCTAGCCCAAACTGGAGGTTACAGTAGCAAAGCTGTGTAAAGAGCACCCTAGGTTATAGGGGACAACTATTTATTACTCTGGATTGTCCTTTGGGTATGTTACAGTAACCTGACCCTGAATTAGGATGAGAATTGGGTCCTTCTGAAACTGCAGTTGACAGCACTAGACTTGGTCAATCCTGAGAGTTTGGTTCCAATTATGCTGATCTCAAAATCAGTGGTGCCCTAGGAATTGAAGTTGGTCAAACTGGCCAACCCAGAGACCTCAATGCCACTCATATGCAAACCAGACACACTTTGGCAAGTGATTTTCCAGGAACAGTGGTGCTGAATCATTAGCACTGGTTTTAGTCAACTCAGATGGATCCAGAAACTTCATGTTACGAGCAGAGTCAAGGTCCTCAGAACCAGACTAGATCAAGGCATCGAGACCTAGGGAGCTCAGTGGCAATCACGTTGAGCACAGAACAATTTGCCACCTTCCACACCCTCAACACTAGACTTAGTCATACTTGGAGAGATCTGGGGAAACAGTACTACTTCAAACAAGTGATTCTCCAGACCTAATAGTGTTGGCTCCTTAGAACAGTATTTGTCAACCCAGACTGAACCAAAGACCTCCGTTCCATTTGTACGAGGCAAAGAGCCATTCTGGTGAGGGTTATTTCCAGACAGACATATTTAGTCCATGAGGCCCGGAGCATCTCTGTCATTGGAGGGATATTTCTCATTTTTACAGGTTCAGCAACACTTGTGTCAGACAATCAGCTTTGCTTAAGAAAAAGAAGTGGAGAGAAGGATGACTATCTAATTGGCAAACTACAAAAATAAAAAATATTGCCCTGAAGGACAGAAGAAAGAAAACATGTTAAATGATGCACTGAGGACACTGCATACTCTCCGAGCAATTTACACCTTTGGGGATCAGAAGGAAGGGAAGGGTGTTTGGGATCACTCACTGTTTTACACTCTTGAAACTGTGACTGGGGAAGAAGGAGGAGTGGCTCAAATGGACACTGTACACTAGAAGATACCAAGAGCTTGAGACACAGGTGTAAGGATCCCACAAACAGGGATGTGCAGAGGTACTTAGGAGGGAAAAAAAGGTACAAAATGTGAGCAATCAACATTTTTGTATAAATGCTTTTATACTGTTTTATATCCCCCAATAGAAATTCTACAGTGTGAACTTTGTCAATAATCAGACTACTGTAAATTATTTTAACCAGATATGATGTACCATCTATGTATACATAAGCAACATAAATATAGTAATCCAGGGTGTGGACATTTACATTTGTGCCCACTTGTGCATTAATATGGCATCTTACAAAACACACCAGAAATCTGTCCCTCCATCATACAGATTTGCCATATAGTTCAAATTTGAACTCTTCTCATTCAAGCCAAGGCTTTGTCTACACACAAACTTCCATTGGTTTAACTACAGGTACATGTGTTTAAACAAATGTAGCTAAACAGGTGCAAATCTGCATGTAGAAACTCTTATTTCCATTTTGAAAGGACTTGATTTTAGAGAAATAAACTGAAATATAACCCATCCTCAGCGCCAAATAACGTCTACGGACAAACATGTACCTTTTTCAGTAAATCAGGTTATACACACTCCTTAGTTAAACTGGTGGAAGTTTGTGTAGATGAAAGGTCCAACCAAGTCTTGCTTCGTGATAAAACATTAATGAGATCTAAAACAGTTACACAGTTCTCACCTGGCTTGCTCAATGGGAGCCTGGAATTGTCCAGTCCTCCTAACACTGGCCTTCCAGTGAGGCTAGCCTGATAGAGGGACTCCAACTCAGAGATTTCCTGCTCTATGTCTTGACTCCAGTGTGGGTGAAACTGCACTGGATTCCTGTGCAGGTCATCTCTGATTGTTCCGTGATCAGAAAGGAGTGGATTCCTCCCTGGCACAGGAAGCCATTTTGTATTTTTACAGCCCAGCTGAGAACTGTAATACCTAGTGACATTGTCCACCCAACGGTCCACAGGCAGAGAAGCATCCATGCCAGTAGCAGCTCCATAATCCACCTGTCTCACACCTCCATCATGAGTGTGCCTTTCCTGGGAAAGTGCGGGGTCATCTACATTCTGTCCACCTCTTCTACACAGGTCTCCACAGTGTGATCCAGGACTCTTAGAAGTAACTAGTTCAGTGCTAAACCTTTCCAAGGAAACAAACCCATCCCTAACGTTGAAGGAGGAGTGCAACTTTTCAGAAGACCAGGCTTTGTTTTCTTGACTTTGAGGAATTAATTGCCTGTGGCTTGAGGCTGAAGAATTGGGGAATGACTCCTGTATCTGCCCTGGAGACTTCTCATCCTGACAGACTGCAGCAGCCCACCCTCTCTCATGTGCACCTTCTTTCTGGGACATTCCATGCAGTCTCTGAAACTGCTCTGCCAAGGAACGAACATGCCCCTTCATGGCATGGGTCTTAGATTTGCAAGTCTCCACATTACTGAAGTCATCCTGCGGCAGCCCTAAAGTTTCACGGCTGTTTGCTTGGGGGTGCCTGTTTGCTGTCTGGAAAGTAGCCTGAGGGCACTGAAGTGACAGGGATGAAGCAGCAGAGATCATGGAATGACTGTCCCCTATCTGATCTATTCTAGCAGGCACTTCAGAGCTTGACAGTCCATAGCATGGACTGTGTGGACTGCTTTCACTAGGAGATGATGTTTGCATTGAAGGGGGACAGGGAACTAGTGTATGCAAAGACCCAGAGTTGACTGTATTAACATTAGTTTTGTGCTGAGGTGTAAGAGTAGCTGTAATGTCATGGACGTCTTGTAGCTTGCTGCTGCAGTCCCTATGGTCTTCCAGCCCTTTGGATGGGGCCCCATCAAGATCCATAACATGGTGAGCATCATTCTCAGTCCTCGTGGGTCTCTCAACCAACCCATGCCCATAGGGAAAAGAGGGAGCTTGGTCACTGAAATCAGCAGAAGCAGCCTGGAAGATAGGAAAGGTCCCATTTGAAGGACTGCTTGCAGGAACAGGTAGGGAGGAAGACTCTCGATAGAATGATGAGCGTACTTCATGGCAGGAAGCAGGTGGGCAGAAGAAAGAACTGGACCCAAATTCCACTTCTCTGTTGGGTTCCAGTGGTACCTCCCGGCTCAACAGTACTTGGAGCGGGCGAGTCTGTTCACTAAAATACACAGAAATAGTAACCAACTATTAGTAATGCTCTTTTTAAAAATTATCCCTAAGGCTATCCCCCCGATGTCCACCTCAATTCACTTCTCTTTGCACAGACAAATTAAAAACTTCTCAGCCAAAAGAATTGCTTTTGTTAATTTAACATCTTCATTTTCTTTCCTTCCTACTAATGAGTGACACTCTCAATCTATTTTATTTTTTTCAAATATTAAAAGCTAATTTTTATTATAAGAGTTTATTGTGACATTTTTACAACTGTTCTAAAGCATTCTGTGCACTTTGGCTAGGGGCTTGAGTATATGTGGGGACATTATAAAAGTTTAAAAAAATTAAAATTAAGTATTACAAATTCCCCTCCAAAATTAGTCTCTCCAAGAGATTGCTACAAACCATGCAAGAGAATCATTATGTTTATGGTCTTAACAGGCAACATTCCTCTCAGGTTCTCTTTTCTAAAGTAATGGGGAATAACTTTGGGAAGGAGAGAAATAGAATAGAATGCAAAACATTTTCCTTAGTTTCCTTCTCATTTTTTTCAACTTTGAATTATTTATCCAATAAATTAACGAAAACATTTAAAAACATTAAAAACCATGTGCACTTATCTTACATAAAATATATACAATGCATGTCCTTGGGTCACTTTGAATTTCTTCTGCATTAATCAGCATTCTAGTATGCAACTAGAAAGTCACAGGAATCCAGGAATCATTTATATGAATAAAATTAGAGGTCTGGAAACAACTCTGACAGACAGTGATATCTCTGGCAAACTGAAAACTGCTGCTGCTCAAAGCAGCACTTCGTGTTGGTTAGATTAATGCTCTAACCTTAAATCTGGATATGCAGAATGATGACAATGTGCAGCTAAACACTGGTGCATAATTCAGATAATTATTTCCTATAGGATCAAAAAAGACTATTGTGTGACTTCAAGCCTGATCCAGAAATAAAATCTACCACGCAGAAGATCCAACCTAGCATTCATGGGGGGATAGCTCTGAGTAACAACAATTATGCTTTTTTAAAAATGTTGATACATATCAAAGCAAAGACACAAAAATCAAGATATAATCAGCCATTTTTCACTGAATACAAAGTTAAAACTCACTGCAGTAGAAACTTATTGTACAGAGTAGTAATAGGACAGCTCTTTTAGCAGGGATGGGCACTCATGCAATATATTTGAGTTTGATCCCAAGAAAGATATCTTTAATGGTAAAAATGCATCTGTGCTTTAAATCTGCCACTGCCCAATGTCAGCATTCAGTGTTTCTCCTACAACAGAGGGCACTTTGGACCACTAATTAGCACAGGGATCTGCTTTCATTGTTCATAATTCAACAGCTGCAAGAACAGAGCAAAACCCTGAATTATAGCCTTTTCAGGTACAGGTTTCGGCATTTTTGTCCCTGCAGGGATGCTCACATGAGTGTCCACCTGGGCATTTGGTCGCAGAGCATGTCGTTGGGGAAGTGGAAGGAGGAAAGAAATAGATGCAAGCTGGGCAAGAAGCATTCTAGAGGTGGCAGGGGATGGCAGAGAAAAGAGGGTCAAATGGAGCTACAACTAGGTGCTTGGATGGGCTGAGTAAGATGTAGCAGCAGAGAATCAAATGGAGTAGACAGACTAGAGTAGAAAAGCAGAAAAGAAAGTATCCTGAGGAAGAAACTGGAGAGACTGCTAAATTTGACTAGAGACAACTGTAAGGCAGAGAACCTGGCTGTGGGACAGAGGTAGCATCAGGACGATTAGTCAGCAAACAGGAAAGTTGACAGGGCAAGGACAGGTTGTAAGTGAACCCTTTTCTGCAAGAGCTGCACCAGTGCACCAATGAAGAAGTGGACTAGAAGAAAAGGTTCAATGCATGTTTCCCTGCTAAGAGCACTGCAGACATGCGACTGCCCTCCACATGGTAGTTATTTCAGGGCATTCACTATAACAATAGTTTAACTCATTTCAGCTCTGAAGATATTTGCTAATTTTTCTTTTTTAAACCTTACCATTTCACCTTAAAACACATCTCTTCTTTTAACAGTCACTTTTCTGTTGGTACACAGGTCTGTTCTAACAGCGAGAATTAATTTCTAAACGCCTCTTATTACAGGCCTCATTTTGACTTGGCGCACATAACCTAGCCTACTAAAACCATGGATGCACTTAAGTGTGCTTTCCTATAACATGGTATGACCTGAGCATGCCATGAAGAAGAATGCTACAGGATTTTGAGTAACCAGGGGAACACACAGTTCACTACTTCTTTCTAGACCATGTTTCTGGTCAGTACAGCTCAGATCTGCTCTACTTGATATACTTGGACTACCTTGTAGATTGGGTCATGGTGCCCCCCTGTCGTGGGCGGCAGGTTGGTGGCGGCGGCGGCGGCTGCGATGGCTGCTGCTGCATGTGATCCTGGAGGCTCCGTGCTTTTCGGATACAGATTTGTAGCTTCTTATCGACTAAGGCTCTGCTGTGAGTGCTAGAGCTGGCATCATGCATGGCAAGTCTTAGTTTAGCTAAAATGCAAAAGAAAACAGCAGAAACAAAAAACAGAAAAAAGGACTAAAATTGAAAAAAGAAAAAAAAAGATGCAGCAAGAACATAAAATATGGACCATGCAAATGCTGCCACAGAGAAGTTTACAAGGATGCTTTCATTTCCATTAATGCACATTCAGGTTAGCCATGTGTCCAACAGATTAACTGAAACTAAACCAAAATGAGTAAAAAAAAAAAAAATCTAGTTTTTAGCCAAACCCTCCTCCTCCTAACATAGGGTGGGTCTTTCTCCAGCCCTCACAGAAAATGCTATATCATTCTTCATCTTCCATCTATACAACTCCTTATTCCCATATCATGGTTCTTTTATGTGCACAGAAACTTGGTCAGGATTTATAATCAGAGCATAGCCAGGTGGGATGCAGGCTCACAGAACTTTCATGAGAGCTGTATCTTGATCTTGTTTTGTAAAACAGAAAAGCCAATTTCTATAAACATATTTTGCCTTAGTAAATCCATGGTATTACCTGTTCTGTTTTGCAATCTTACTAACCAGCAAGTGGGGAATGGAAGTTGGAGTGGGATAGCCAGCCAGTCAAATTATAAAATACAGAAACAAACAGAAAAATGCTGTAGCACATAACTCCCATAATTCACAGCAAATATTTAGCCCTTCAAAATCTTGACGCCGCCACTTCCTCCTGAGATGTGAATAAATACAGCACAGTTCATTCCTTTTCTTGTTGGTGACAGGAGTCATCTTCTCTCATGCTCCTTTTCTACATACTGTACTGACAGGTTTAGGGCTTAAACCCTCTGTAATTTGGTCTCTGGACTGGGAAAACTGCTTACTGTGTATAAGAAAGCAGGAGAAGAATTACCTACTAGGTGCCTGCTGAAATGCACCAATTAGCAGCAAGACAACAGACATCCCAGTGTTCTTACTGCCACTGCACTAGACACAACAGCCCAGAGGGAGCCAAGCTGGTGGAGGGGAATGGGACTAAAATCCAGAAATAATGGTGCTTAGAAAGAGGAACCACTAGCTCCAACCACACCAGTAGAAACCAGCACACTCCTCATTTTCCCACCTGAGAATTTCAGATGACTAGTCAGTACATTTTACAGACCTGTTCTGTGATATTAGTAAACTGCCAAAAGCACAGTAACTCAGGCAATTAGTTACTTACATATAGCTTCGTTACAGAGAGCAAGAGCTGCAGCACAATCTCCCTTCTGCTCCTGATGCAGCGACTCTTCAAAGACTGAGTCTGCTTCCTGCATGGACCTCTCAAAGCCATCACTCCTCCCTGCAAGGGGCAGCACTCTTCATTTCATTTGCATTCTTTTTTTTCCTTTACCCTTCTTCCCACTTGTTAGCACAGAATCTTTCCATATGGGAGTCATTTGTAGCAGCCTACCTGTAGAGGCTGTACCTTTCCCAAACTCTTGTTCCTTTTTAAAGGGTATTAGGATGTTGAGGAGCACTGGGGACTGCAAGAATCACAAACTCTGAGACTGGGTGTGGCATACCCTTAATTAACACAACTGTCAGGATCAGGTAATCATAAGCACTGTCTGATAAAAGGACTGTAAGCCACTGTTTGTGTGTTTTACTCAGGGTAACGAGGGATTTTGCTGCAGATTGTTTTGGGTAAAGTAAGTGTGTGCGTGCATGTACAGAGACAGGCAGAGACAAGAAACAAGAAAGCACAGTGTGACCCTGGAAAAATGGGAAAAGCTAGAGAGTTTGGGGGACTGTTTTTGGCTAAAGAGGCTTGGGATACTAAGATACTGCTCCTTTTGTTCTTGGTCCTCCTGTGTTCAGAGAAGCAGGACTTTGTACATTCCTTTAAAAAAAACAAGACTGCATGAAAGAAAACACCAGACTGTCAACCAAATTATATTCTCTGTGATTGTCTACAGCAGAAAGTTATGCTGCTTCAATATATTATATGATTTTAAATGGATTTTAGTTGCATTTGTGCAAAAGATCAATTTACATCAATTAAGAATCAATTTAACCTAAACCAAAATAAGCTACATTTGACCTGAAATAAGAGTGTCTGACATAGAAGGTTGCATTGGTTTAACTTAATCTGTTTAAAAATCACATCTTATGTAAAGCTTTCTGCTGTAGACAGAACTCCGTTATAACCATGTAAATCTGCTGACTTCAGTTGAGTCACTTCCAATTTACACCAAGGTAACAGAGCAAACTTTGGTATTATATCTCCAAATTCCAGTCAGTGCTATTTCTACTACTTTACTGTTGAGATTACAAAGTCAAGGCTTATTAGCATCTACACCAATGTCTGGAGCAGTAGTTTTACTGTAAATGACAGGCTTTGGCCAGTCATTTGAAGTGACTTATTCATGTGACTGTTAACAAACTGGGAATTTTTGGATTAATTCCTTTTTTGTCAGAACATGCTGATTCATCAGAACAAACTTGTTGAAGAAATATATCTGTTTCGATTCCAATTTTGTCAGGAAGATTTTTCAGGTCCAGGATAGAATTTCTGATGAAAGTGACAGATGCACTTACCCGCTCTGCACCCCAGAATAGCCAATAATAATCCTCTCGTTAGCGCTCTCACCTCAGACAGTGGGGATCCATCTTCAAGTCCCTGCTCCAAATGAGGCAGAGCAGAGATGTGAAGGTGGATCTCCCCTACCCCAGCTGAATGTCCTGAGCTACTGGCTACTCCATGAGTAACTTTTGTGAAAAAATTCAGGGTGTAGTTTTTATTCTGAAGGGGAATGAAAATAAATGCCAAACCTTCAAAACTGTTTGGAAACAGAATCCTTTGTTTTAGAGCAGTGGTCCCCAACCTTTTAGGGCTGGGCCGCGCACGCACCGCGTGCCTGGAGCGGGACCGCCCATGTGCCACGCGCCCAGGGCCAGCACTGTGCATGCACCGCATGCCTGGGGCAGGGCCAGCCCCAATCACTGGGCGGGTGCACATAAATGCCCCGGCGGGCGCTATGGCGCCTGCAGGCACCGTGTTGGGAACCACTGTTTTAGAGTATGCCAGAAGGCTTCTCTGTACTGAAAACACTAGAGCAGCACCATTGTAGCACTTCAGTGTGATGCTACCTATGCAAACATGAAGGGTTCTCTCAGTGGCATAGATAATCCACTTCCCCAAGTGGCAGTAGCTAGGTTGATGAGAACATCTTAACATCACTTAGGGATGTGGATATTTCAGATGTCAAAAGCAACTACTGTTACAGAAAAAAAAAACCCCACAGTGTACAGCAGGGGTGAGCAATAATTTTTGGCAGAGTGTGGCGGGGCGTTGCCCTGCACTAGCCCTTTAAGGAAGACCTGGAGTCAGGGGGAAGCCCAGCTGAGGCAAATAAGGAGGGCCCAGTTGGAGACTATAAGAGCAGCTCCTGAAAGGAGGAGAGATACCTGCCTGCCTGCAATGAGAGAGGCTTTGGCCTAGCAAACCCAGGCTATCCAGCCTGAGGCCCAGGGTTGCAAGAAGGCAGTCACAGAGGGCAGGGCTCGCATGGAGGCAGCCCTAAAAGGCCGGGCTGCAAGGAGGCAGCCGCGGTTCTGCAACAAGGCAGCTGCAATAGGCTGGGGGAGTTCGAGCCAGGGAAGCCCAGGCCATAAGACCACAAGGCAGGGTTGCAGGAAGCAACCGGGCAGGCAGAGGCATGCCTTTGGCCAGGGAGGAATGGCCAGGAGAGACTGCTGTCTGCCCGGAGACAGGACTAGGGAGGGACTGGTAGTGGGCCACTGAAGCCTGGAGGGCGTTGAGGAACTGTGTGTGCCAGGCACCACCCCTGCAGCTTCCACTGTCTGATTTCTGGCCAATGGGAGCTGTGAGGATGGTGCACCCCAACTCCAAGGTGTGTGCAAAGACACTTGCTAGCAGCAGCTGACCACTTCTGGAAGTAGCGTGGCTGGGGCCACAGCAGGCAGATTGCCTGAGTGCCCCGCTACACTGTGGGACTTAGCAGGCTGGAGGGAAATGTTTGGCAGGCCTGATCGAACCTCTTTGCCATATTTTACCCAACCTGGCGTATAGTATGTCTCAAATACCACACAAATGCTGTGGCCAGACTGTGTTAACATGCTTGCAAACCCCTTTCCAGCAATTTTAATGACTAGTTATCTCCAACACACCTTATTCCATGTGAAACAATTCAGAGGTGCCTGGGAAATGATACCTACTTCAGCAGACTGTAATGAATATCAGAGCCTTTCACCCACTAATGCACACTGACCACCATAAGAAGCTGCTGGAGTGCAGAATGGTTCTGCGGCCTTAGGAGGAGGAGAGAGCAGAGCACATGGAGGAGGAGCTGAGAACAGGGAGACAAGACCCACAAATTCTTTTTGAACAACTTCAAAAAGTGGGGAAAAAAGGAAGGTGATGACCCCTGAAAAGTACCAAAACATAGGCGAGCTCAAGAGAAACAAGATGTTCTGACCTACGGACAACAGGTCTCAAGCCACTTATTAGAACAGCATACAAAATTGCTCATGAAAATTTAACAATGCATGCCAAAATCTGCTCATTTGTCCTTTCTTGTGAAGGCAGAAAAATTAATATTTCACTTAGCCAAAATAGAAAGCCTCCTTGACATGGGTAACATACATTTCACTACCATATACAATTCTTATTTTAAGAACTCCAGAGAAATCTAGTAAATGCAGATGTGCTGAGTATGAACAAGAAGTCAGGTAGATCAGTAAGTCAAAACAGCAGCATTTTCATAGGTAAAATGTGTGACCACTGAAAGCCAGACTCTAAGCAATTTACACTTGGCCAACGCATGGGCAAAACCATTTATTTAGTGGAAGGAAAATGGGACAGAAATGTTCTGGAGTCTTGTGCATAAGCAAGCCATGAACCACCCAGAAGGTTCAGGAGCCATCTAGCCTCCCTCGCTATCATGCCAGAGTCCATGGCCCCCAAATACCGTATAACACCCTTGGATGTTAGGTGCCTTTCTAGTATGCCAAACAGTTGGATGTTTCTAACAATATGTATAGTGGGCCATTACCCAGGGTCAAATTGGGACTGTTCCCAGTGACTCAATGAAAAGGCATATTTTTCTGGAGGCTGCAGCCTTTTATTTCAAAATCTGAATTTAAAAAAAAATTAAATCAGTAACACTTAAGTTTGTGAACAGACACTTAATACTATTAACCAACTGTAACTGATATCTGCACAATTCCGTAGACCGCGTGAGAAGACAAATCAAAGAATGGTGAATGCCCTCTTCATTTCTAGGGGTCATTAACCAAAGTCTTATGGCAACAATTAGAGGTCAAACTGGTAACTATTGCACTGTTGATCACCATGCAAGATTGGAGAAGCACAAAAATTGTGAAGATCTCCTGCCAATGCAAGTGGAAAAGGCCACACCAGAGGATCTACAGTTACTCACATGTGGCATCCTAGCTGACCCTAAGAATCCTGTAATGTAGGTATGGTCTTTTTTAACACTATGGGTACATCTACATTTTTGGGTATGCAAATTCCAGTTCTTCTGATCTCACTTTCAAAAGAGGATCTTTCAAAAGTGAAAGCAGTCGATGCGGTTTTTTTCCGGGGAAAAAACCCTTTTTCAAAAAACCGTGTAAACCTCATTTTTTAAGAAAGAGCTTTTTTTCTTTTGAAAAATGTGTCCTCTTTCGAAAGTGAGATCAGAAGATATGCAAATTTCTACAGAATTTGCAGATCTTCTTTTTAAAATAGAATGTAGTCTAGAAATAGCCTATAGGTGCACCACTTTCCTGAGCGACAATGTTCTTCTTTCAACCTGGACACAGCAACTCCAGGAATTAGGCCAGGATAGCTATGGATTTAAGTGTGTTGGGGAAAAAAGTCAGAGCTTGGAGTGACACAGCAACACCATCCTAAATTTTAAGTGTAGCTCAAATATTTGTTTTGGTAAGTTGAGTTTGGTGTTTGGCCAGAACACAGGTTTGTTGTTGTTGTTTTTCCAAAATTAGATTATTTTGCATTATAAATTCAGCATTCTCTTCCTGTTCTCCACATTTCTGATAAATTCTGAGACCATCTTGTCTCGCCATGGGAGACTACTGTTGAATAATTGTAGAATTGTCATGGGGAAGAAAAAGCAAGAGACTTACTGGAAAAAATCAAAAGACCAAACACACCTTCTCCACCTCCCACATATGCAACACTATATTCCAAACCCATCCAACACCCCACACCTGCCACATCCAGCCTGGGCCAATTACCCTGGTTCTGCAGTTCATCTAGGTCCATGAACCTGCTGGGACGGGGATTAAAGCCCATTGCTGCCTCCAGTTCCTTCTCCCGTTTCCTGCGTAGCTCCTGTTCCTGTGCCCTCCTTGCCACTTCCTCCTGTAACTCATCCAGTTCGCTCTTCGATGGGGCAGGCGCTTCTCCACCTTCAAACACCAAAGAGAGCCATGGGTACTTTCAGTGGGTGCCCCATTCCCAACACGCACACTCTGCTGTAGCAGCAGCTCAACTTGTTTTGCTCTTTTAATCTTCTGTAAGTCCATTTTATATAGGAAGCAAGGAAAACTTGAAGACAAAGGCAAGTGCCACCGGAAGCACACAAAAGGCAGCACTTAGTAAAAAGCTATTTTATTAATTTAAATATTATAGCTTACATATTTTATATTAATTTTTCTAAAAGATTTAGAAATGGGAAAGATTACTGGATCATTTTAGCCTACTTCCTTGCCAATTCAAGTTCTCCCCCACTATATGTTGTGCTTTGTACATTTTATCTAGTTTGATGTTCAGATGAGAAGTGGGTGAGGAAATATCTTTTATTGGATCAACTTCTTCTGGTGAGAGAGAGCAGCTTTTGAGGTACACAGAACTCTTGTTTAGGTCTGGGAAACTTATTCAGAGTGTCACAGCTAAATACAAGATGGATCAGATTACTCAGCATAGTAAGTATTTAGTTATAAAGGACAAAAAAAATCCAGAGACAGTAAAAGCTGTGTTGTCCAGCACTGCAGCAACCCAAACGCTTTATAAATCAGCATTTCTAATCTTCATGGAAAGTCCAGTTTATAGTCAGGTTGGTGCAGCACTGGCAGGCTCCCCACCTTGCTCACTATGGTTCATTGGTAGCAGCATGTTCCTGTTGCTCCTAGGTGGAGGAATGGCCATGAGAGCTTCAGGGTGCGGGAGAGGCTGCAGGAGGAGTTTTGGGGTGCTGGATCCTGGGGGTGTTCACCTCAGGCAGCTCCCAACTAAGGGCTATATGTCCCTATTGCTCCTAGTCAGAGGTGTGAACAGGCATCTCTGTGTGCTCCCTCCCCCCACTGCTCTCTCTGGCCACGCTTCCCAGCCAGTAGGAGCTGCAGAGCCAATCTATGATCTAATAACACAACCCCAGCTGCTTCCACCTCTACCCTTTCTTCCCTATGAATGGACAGGTGTTAATGGACCACTGCACTTTGTTCAGCATATTTCAAGGGACAATTCAATCTACTCCACCTTGTAATTTACCTGTGACACTTTGAGACCTTGTTTACACTACAGGTTATTTTGGTATAATTTATGTCACTCTGGAGTGTGACTAATCCACAGCCCTGAGTGACAAATTACACTGACCTAATCTCCAATGCAGACAGTATTGTCAGCTACTACCTTTTGTGCAGGCAGGAGCTTAGCTGACGGAAGAGATCTTTCCCATAAGCTTAGAGTATCTCCATCACAAGCACTATAGTGGTGCTGCTGCAGCGTAGACATAGCCTGAGTAAATTTCCCAGCTCTGCAGAAGAGCTCATACATTTGTCTCTCTCATCAACAGAAGTCCATCTAGTAAGAGATAGTATTTCATCCACCTGGTCTCTCTAATATCCTGGGACCAACATGGCTACAACACCACTGCATGTTCCAAATTATGCAGTGTCCACCACTTCACTTTTACAACCTTACTGTCCTCTTATTTGGGGGGGACATTCAACTTAAAACGTCCCCACACTAAAATCCCTCCCATTATTCCTACTTATAAGCCCTTCATCCTTTTCTTGACATTGTGGGTGTTTACATAGCTCCAATGTTCTTGCAGCCCTCTATAATTATCTATGCTTCATGTAGTCAGTCCTTCCTCAAACCAATCCCACTAGCACCCTAATCTTTGTGTTGCTTTTCATGGTGCTGACTTACATTTACTAACATACAAATTGCAATATTCTAGATATGGTTGCATGAAAGCCTTATGGAGAGGACTACTGACTCATAATTCTGTGACATAACACCTACGGCACGAACTTTAAAAATCTCTTTAAAAACATCAGTATTTAAGGTTCTCTTCGTAGAAGCAGGAGGAGAAACTTTAACACCAATAATTCATGATTACAAAAGGATTTTATTAACTCGCTGGATTGTGATGTAATGTCAAGTGTGTCTGGTATTTTTGTTGAAACCATCTTGCAACCCTACATACAACTCATAACTTCATATGAACTAAAGACGTACATATTTAGACAGAACAGAGACTTTCAGCTGATCATAAACTTTCCCCAACACCTTCCCTGGAATGCTTATATATAATATCATAATTGTATACAGATGAGAAATATTAGGGGTTACAGGGTGCTCTCCCAAGGTACAGAGTATCTCATGGTACGTCTACACTACCACCCTAGTTCGAACTAGGGTGGTAGTGTAGACGTACCATGAGATACTCTGTACCTTGGGAGAGCACCCTGTAACCCCTAATATTTCTCATCTGTATACAATTATGATATTATATATAAGCATTCCAGGGAAGGTGTTGGGGAAAGTTTATGATCAGCTGAAAGTCTCTGTTCTGTCTAAATATGTACGTCTTTAGTTCATATGAAGTTATGAGTTGTATGTAGGGTTGCAAGATGGTTTCAACAAAAATACCAGACACACTTGACATTACATCACAATCTACATTACATCTTATTTAGAAAATACCGGACACTTATATTTTCTCAATTTATTTCCTGAACAGAAAGCTCAAATGCTGGACTGTCTGGTTCAAAACCGGATACCTGGCAACCCGAGTTGTATGTTTGTCACTAAAACAAGTTGAAAGATCAGCAGGCTATTAGCTCCCCAGAGACAACAGTAAGGCAAAGTAACTGAGGGGTTAAACAACTATCAACTGCCATTGTCCAGCAAAAGAGCTACAACTCATACCTTACCTTCATGAGACCACACCAGGGGAATTGCTCCACCTTGTTTGGGGACTCAGCAATGTCTCCCAGACATGCCTGAACTTGTATTCTCCAGGCATATGAACTAAGAACATAAAACTGAACACAGGGGGGCCAGGCTCTGCCATTTTCCTATCTCCACCTATGCTGCAGGTAATAAGGGCTGGCAGAAGACTGATCTCGGGTTGAAGAAACTGTTGGCTCCTCCTGTGGCTCCAGGGACTGAAGGAGGTCTGTGCCCCCAACAAATATTGGAGGTGTGTTGTATGCGCGCACACACACGCGGACACGCACGTCCCTGGTGCTCTGTTTCTGCTTTAGTTCCCCCTGCCTGGGGCTCAGCTCCAAGGAGCCCCTAACTCTCTTCCATGGCTCAACTATGTTCTGAGTTCTGGATTCCCCATGCCTCCCATTGAACCTACATCAGGACTCCTATTTCAGCTGCTGCTACAGGGGCCCTGAGGTGGAGGCAGCCCAGCACCCAACATGGTGGTGCTGTTGCAGCACCAACTATCTCCTGCACCAGTAGCTGCCTCCAGTAGCTCAAGGACCTGTGTGGTTACCTGACATTGCCGTTAGGTGATCCCAGGCAAGTCCAATGCAGGGAAAGGAAAAAACTTGCCTGTCTTTTATAAGTGTTGTTCAAGAGAATTTTTTACCTCAATGGTCTCACAGAGGACTGGGTGTGGCATCCTCTGGAGTGCCCTCCTCATGCACTGGTGTATGAGAATGTATGCTATGAATGGCAAAAGGGGGGGCATTCCCAGGGAGTTCCCATCTTTGAGAGATTACACTAACCATTTTCGGATGGAGTGACTTCTCATGGCAAAAGGAGAAGATCCTGCTGAGGTAACCTGCCAACACATTTCTGTCCCTGGAAAGTGTGCTGCCACAAGATGAACAGCAGGCTGCATACAGAAGTCCCACAGCCAGGAAGCTCCTTGGCAAAGGGCCGACAACCAGGCTACACTTAGTTTATTGGTCTAAAACATTGCAGTGGACTTGTTCATCAGGATCTGAACCGTCCTGCCCTTAAGATGAGGCAAGAAAGGTAGGCAGGCCAAGCAAACCACTCTGAGCTCTCTGATGTTTATGTGGAACAAGCAATCATCCTGCAACTAACAACCTGGTGTGCTGAGAACACCCAAGCGTGTTCCCCAACTCAAATCTGCAGTATTGTTTTCAGAAGATAGCTTAACCCCACCCTTCAACTTCAGAATCAATAATTCAGGAATCTTGAATTCCAAAGGAATGTGTATCTATACTGAACATCCGTAGGAAAGGCAAGCCATTGTCTGGTTACCTTAAATTGTCCCCTACCCTTTTTACTTATTTTTCCTACCTCCTTTTTATTCTTGACAAGTTTGGGTCTAGATGCTGTTGCAAGCTTGCTTCTTCACAAAAGATACCAATAATGGTTAATGATAATTGGCTGTATTTTGAGAGGAATATTCTAACTACCTGTTTAGTTGGGCAGCTGAAATTATGAGAGGATGGAGGGAGAGAGTATTACTTTCCTCTGGTGTGTCAGTTTAAGTCACTGCCTGAGGAAGGATGCCTCTCAAGATGAATGAAAGGTATGTCCTAACAGGCTCCTGGTGATACTAACTGGTAATGCAATAAACAAGAACTGTAGTCCCAAAAAGTTGTACCAGATTCCTGAGTCTTTTTCCCTTTCTTGCATCTGCCTCCACTGTGAAGGAAAAATATCCAGGGATTACGAAATTACCTCACTACATTTTAAACTCGACGATTGTGGAAATTGGGGGTTGAAAAGGTCTCTTACCATTTCCTAGGGAGTGCTGGCTGCTTGTCCATCCAGTTGAGGAAGCAGATTCCACTTCTAAGATGCTGCTGCTATGTGACTTTGGGATATTACGCCAGGCAGGAACCAATCCACTAGATCGCTTCATATGAGAATCCCTTGAAACGGGAGTGAGGGGGGGGGACAATGGTTAAACATTTTGCCAATCTTTTCAAGGGATGGAAATGTACAGAGTGCTGGAAAGAAGGACAAGACAGCCCTACATTTTTTCAGTCTGGCAATAACATTTCATCTTCACCTTATTTTCACACAGCTTCAAAAGAGATGGTATTTTAAAAGGATTCTATGGAAAAATCCCTGGGGGAAGGGAACAAAAAAGAATTCACCTCTTCTCAAATAATATTTAAGATTTTATTCTTTATTTACATAGGAATCTGGCTCCTGTTTCTCGGTCCCCAACTATAAGATTTATTTCCCTTTTCCCAAACACACCCAAAAACTATAACTTCCAGTCATATATTTTCTGCAAGAGGGATCAAAAACTGCATCAAAATATCCAAACACCAGTTCCTCTTTATTTTGGCACTATGTTCCCTTATTGTACAAGATCATTAAAAAAGAGCTCGCCAAAGCAATGATGGGAAATGTGGCTCTCTGAAGAACACAGAAGATTGCAACTGCAACTATGTCACCATCTGCCCCTTTCCTACAAGTATCACTGGGATAGATCCTAAATCCTGGAAATGAAGCAGCTGGAGGGTATTTCACTACTAAAGAGAACATTTCCTTAGAAGCACATGATGAAGCACTTTTTACCCACAAAAGCTTATGCCCAAATACATCTGTTCATCTTTAAGGTGCCACAGGACTCCTCATTGTTTATGGATTCTATAGTACACAGAAGGCCCCAATGAAGTCCTCAGGGAGACATGATCCCATGCCAGTCTATTAAACAGTACACATGCTCCAAAACAGAGCCTGACACAGGGATGCTTACTGTCAGACAGTAATTTCACTGAGTCAAAGGTAATAGGCCAGATTAATTTTTCACATGGACAGCAGTGACAGACAGCGTCTAAATTTAAAACAAACTGGGTCCAGCATCCTGCAACTTTGGTTTTTGACACAGCCTCAGGACAGAGCTCTCTATATCCATCTCTCCCCACCCGCCCCCCCAATAGCTGGTTGAGTCACCCTCCTAAAATCCTTCTGAGACGTAGAAATTAGTGTCCAGCCAAACAAGGAATGCTGCCATGGCACAGCATTACCAGCTTATTTCCCATAATCTGCCTGCACTGTTGTCTACAAGAGCCGCAGACTGAGACTGAAGGGCAATGCTTATGCTCCGTATTCAAGAGCCACAATTTAGTTCTCAGAGATCCTAGTTTGCAGGGCCATAAGAGAAGCAAAAGTCCAAGAGTGCACTTTGTTAACATCTACCTGTGGGTGCTGGAGCTCTCAGACAAGGGCATGTCCAGACTGACTGGGCTGTTGCTATTGCGTTCGCTGCTCTCATAGCCAGATTCCATCCTTTGGATCAGACGAGGATGCTGATCCATCAGGTGCTGAGTGCCCCATCCCCGACCCCAGGGCTTATACCTGATGTTTAGTTGGTTTGGCCTTGTGCCTTGAGTTGCTGGTTCCTTCAGCTCATCTTCTATAAATTCCTTGGCTGTCAAGAGAAAAGAACATGAGATAGCAGAAGAGCCAGGTTGAATTCTATCATGTTAGCTGCTAGTTTTTGGATTTCTAACCCTGTTTAAATCAAATGTACTGTGGTTCTGTGTTCAGGGATAAAAATCGTCCAGACAATTTCAAGAATCCAGACAATATCTTTATACCATCTCTAAAAACATGAAGTAATTTCCAGAAGAAAAAGGGAAATGAAGCTTTAGACTCATCGTGATTTTCCCCAAGCAATGTGTTTTTAATACCTGCCATTTAGCGAAACTTGCTTCATCCAAAGGAAAAAAGAAACCTATAAGCAAGGAGACCGAATCATCCCTGTCAAGGGGAATCCAGTAAAAGACAGAAAGGAGGATCTATTTCACTGAAGGAAGGAAAAGAAAAGGATACTCACCTGTGCAGTAACTGAAGTTCTTTAGGATGGCTGTCCCTGTAGGTGCTTCATTTTAGGTGTCCTGACACTGCACTTGTAATGGGGGATTTGTGGTAGCAGTGCCTAGTGGGGCTGTGCATACATGGTAGCCATTATGCACTTCTCTGAGTGGTTACATAGTGGTGCATAGCCAACGGTATGCCAGTTCCTTCTCTACAGAGACTCTACATTGAGGTGGGCAATACTTTTTAATAAGGGTTACCCCAAGATTTAGGTAAGTGGCCAAGGGCCACACTTCTATGGAGAGAGTGCGAGGTCTGGGATAGTGAGGGAGCTTGTGATAGAGAACTGAGGTGCAGGAGAGGGAGTGGGGTCTGAGGGAGTTTGGGTGGAGGAAGGGATTATGATCAGGGGCAGGGACATGGGGTGCAGGGTCTGGGAGTGGTGTAGGAGGGAATGCTGGGTCGGGGAGGGAGTTGTGACCTAGAGGAGGTGGGGAGAGGGGATACAGAGGGTTTGGGTGGTGGCTTAGGGCAAGAAGTTGGGGAGGAGAGTGGGGGTGGGTTCCAGAGGAAGGCTCTGGCTGGGAGGGGCTTACCACCTAGGTGGCTCCCAGCCAGTAGCCCAGCAGGAACATGAGACAAGCTCCATGCCTTTTTGCTAGGTTGGCTGTTGCATGTGGCTCTGCTCCAGCATGGGGAGGGAGGAGACTTCACTCACTGTCCCTGCCTCCAGCAAAATTTCTCAGGGCCTATTGGCTAGAAACTGGACAATGGGAGCTAAGGGATTTTGCTAAGGGGTGGGACAGCACACAAAGCCTTCAAGTCCCTCCCCAGCATGCAGAGCATGGAGAGCCAATCTTTAAAGCAGCAGCTGCTGTGTAGTGAAGGTGCTAGCGAGGTGGCTGCAAGCCAGATCCAGTGGTTTGGTGGGCCAGATCTGGCCCATTAGCTGCCTCTAATCACCCACCCCTGATCTACATGAAACTCTGAGTAGAGGGTGTAGTTATTCAGGAGGCGGTTGGGGCTTATATTCTAGGCCTTCATCTTACTTCAGAGGGCAGGAGGGTGGGAAGACCACCACCCACAGGGACACTTCTCTAAGAATCTCTGTTACTGCAACAGATGAGTAAACTTCTCTTCTTCTTCGAGGAGTGTCTCCATAGCTTCTCCACTTTGGGTGACTAGGTGACTATTGAGCAGTGCCCCTCAGAAAAGGGGAAGGGGCTCAGAGGTACATTAACAATGGTGGATAGCGCCGAAAGCCCAAAGTTAGCACTGAAGCGGACTGTTGCGCTCTTGCACGTGTTTACTAAAGGTATGCACTGATGTCCAGTTTGCTGCTCTGCACATATCAGCGATAGAGATGCGACTGAGAAATGCCACAGACGTTGCCTGCGCTCTGGCACAGCGTGTACAAACTCTTGCTAGACTGTTGTTTTGGTAGCATAAATGGATGCATCCTGATATCCTTTTTGCATAGTCTGTTTGGAGATTGTTTGACCCATTGTGGGTTGTTATAAAAACAAATAAATAGTCTTAGTGATTTTCTAAAAATTTTTGTTCTTTCAATGCAGAGTGAATACTTTTCCAGCAGCTTTTAAGCTGGTTCCCTGCGAGCACCATTTCCTGCCTGCCCCACCTCCCTGCTTCCTCTAATAAAGAGGCAGCAGCATGGAGGGCAGGTGACTCTGCAAGGGCCAATATGCACAAGGAGCCAGCTTTCAAGCCGGCTCCTGGAGCGTACCAGCTTCCGCCTCCACCTCCCCATGCACTGCTGCCTCTGATAAAAGAGGCAGCACTGTGAGAGAGGAGGGCGGGCAGCTCTGTGGGAGCTGATATGTGACGGAAGCCAGCTTGAAAGGTGACTTTCCAAACGTACCAGCTCCCACCTGCCCCCCTCACTCTCCACGCTGCGGGGAGGTGGCTGTGCAAGATCTGGTGCTCATGAGGATCCCCCTGAGCATTGGCTCCTGCATTGCTGCCTCTGTGGGAGACATTGGGTGACAGGTGGCTCTGCCAGAGCTGGCACACGCACCCACAGGCACCAACTCATGCCTCCCTTCTCCCCTCCCCCACCCCTTGCTGCCTCTGATGCATGTAGTCGTTAGGATTAACCAATAAGCCCAGGTTGATCAGTTAATTATTTAAATGACTATACGCTAACATCCCTACATGACAACTATGATTAATTCTGCGCCTAACTGTATCTTTCCAGTTACAACCCAACAACATACTTCTCTTTCCCCCTCCTCACCTGCATCTTCAGAGAAGGGGCTGAGTTGTGTGTAGCCACAATGGCTTCTCTTGTCTTTACTGAAGATGCTGTCTATGTTTAGAGACTCCCTTTTGGGTCTCCAGGTTGGACGGTACTTGCTAGATGAACTGGATTTGGATTCACTGCTCGTACTCTCCATTTCCCAGTCATGAGAACGCACAGGCAAGTTCTTGGGGCGTCGTACTTCTGACTGACCTGCTACACTCTCTCCACAAGGAGAGCCTTGATTTGCTTGGGCTGGTCTGTTGTGTATCATATTGCTGACTGTCTCTTTAAACTCTCTCAGTCTGTTGGTGCTGCTGGATGGTTTAGGGGCTGTTCTGGGGGCTTGTTTCTCCTTCAGTGTTTCCCCTGCAATATACAAAGGAAAAGGCACAAGGAAAAACACTTCATTTTAAACTGGCAGCACTATTCTCAATATCATTCTGAAGCCATACAAAGGGACATCAGCAGAGGCAAGACAGACCTAAACACAGAGAGAGTGCGCAAGATAGGCGCACATACACACAATCATAAAAACACAGAGAGCAACGAAGCAAATAAAGCAATGCCCCTTGCCTTCACTATGGTATCCTGAAGATTGCATCTCATCCCCTTTTCTCCGAGCCCGGCTAGAACTCCTCTTGCGGTCTGTGAGGGATCCCTTTTTGGAAATATGCCTCTGATTACATTCACTGTCAGTCAGGTGTCCTGAAAGAACAGGAGAACACAGTTTAGATGGCACGAGTCTTTGGATTGATTGTTTGATATTCTAAGACTAGGAGGCTCTTTTTGCTCTTCCTGAACTGCAGACACTCTAATGCTAACTGGCAGCTTCTAGTCAGCAAAGTCACTTATTTTAAATAATTTTTATCTAGGAGTTTTTTTAAATAATCACAAAAGACTAATGAAGCAACTCCAGGGACTGTGCTAAATGAGACAGATCATCTACCGAGAAGCAGTGGATTGCACCTTGCCTCATAATGCTCCAGGGATACCATTATCTTGCAATACCAACACTCCAGCAGCTCTCACTCTCAAACACATACAGCTCTTAAACACACATGGCTAGCTTGATTTTATTCTCATCACAAATTTGCTTTTGCACACCACACACAAATCTTTTCTTTGCATCAAATGAGTCAGAAAATATTTGTTCACAATTTAGATAGATTTTCCCTGTAAGAAAGTCTCAGGAGTAGCTGTGTCAGTCCATAACTTTTAAAACAACAAGTGGTCCTGTGGCACCTTAGAGACTAATAAAAATATATAGTATAATGAGCTTTCATGGGTAAAACCCACGTCCTCAGATAAGCTGGAGTGGAAATAACAGAAACCAAGACATTTGTAACAGCAAAAAAAAAAAAAGTGTAAGATTGGTGCTAATGAGATTAATTACGTGGGCTGGAAGTGTTCCATTGTTAGCTTTAGATGTAAAAATGCAGTTAAAAGCAGGGGAGATGGGTTTTATAATGCAACATCCAATTAATGACTTTGTTCAAGCTCAGGGAAACCATGTCAAATTTGTAGATGAATTAATCTTTTAAAATGAGTATCAAAATTCAAAAAACACACTGAAGCAAAAGGAGAACTTGCTTTCAGGGACAGTACTGCATCAACAAAAAAGATGTGACAATGGGCATGCAAGGGCAACCCACACAAATGGAGATTAATGTGACAAATATCCTGTGAGTTTGTAGTATATATTCTTTAGAGAGAGATAATAGATATATGGATATGGGGAAAATGTGAAAAGAACAAGAAGGGTGTCTGGAGGGAAGACTGAGGGAGTGGTAGATAAATTAGGGCATAAGTGGCTGAGCAGGAAAGATGCCATGAAGTGGTGTTAGGGGAACTCATTCTTTCACAACATGAGCTTCAGAATGACAGCAGGCACATAAAACTGTTTAGTCTAAGGATAGAAGATATCTTGTAGCAGTTAGCATGGTGATAAAAGGAGCACACACTGCATTCAGAGTGCACAATTTCTTTGGTTAGCTTTAAAAAGTTTCCATTCTGATGGCAATGGTATGTTAGGGCATTTCCAGGGCTGTCACAGCAGCTATATGCAGAGTACCACTGCTGTTTGAGTTGGGGCTCTTAGAGCAAGAATATTTAATATTGATCTAGTCCTTAAATACACAGTTAGCCCCTGTGAATTTGGAGGTTGACAGCTTTACCAACACTTCTGTATTTCCATCCATAAGTTGGACATGGTCCCACTGCTACAATATGGGGCAGTCTCAGCAGAGGTGCGGAGGACTACGTGAACATGGAGCCTGAATTATCTTGTTCCCCAAACTGTGAGCCTTCTAGACCAGGGACAAAGGCCACTGATGAGGAAGCATGAGAAAAGTTTGCAGCATCTGTGTGCATGCTGTACTGGGCTATGAATTTCAATCTCCAGAGCTGTCAATCTTGCACCTTTCCTTAATTTTGCTGAATAACTAAATTAATAGGATTTCTCCTGAGCACTCAACACACACATGCAAAATCTGCCTTGGACAAGTATTTTTACATACTAAATGCCTCACATTCAAACAATCATATGGTTTAATAGACAAACAGTGATGTCCATGAAAAGCATCTTTATAGCCTCAAAGGTGGGGAGCACGAGGTTAGAGAAAGGAACAAAACCAAACCACTGGAGATAGATCCTAAGGGGAGGTCAGAAGTGTGAGCAGAGCAGTTAGAATTCATGCACTGTTTAGCTCGAGACCAGTGGCTGCCAGAAGGGGCAGAGGGCTAGCTCAGCTACTCTTAGTGAGCCCCACCCATCCCCATCCTGACATACCCAGGTGCTTGAGGGCACATGACCCCAATGGTCTTCCTTCCCAGGAGGACGATGTGGGACGGGGTTCACAGAACTCTGGGGTGGAAGATTGGGGGAAGTGGCCATTAATGAAGAATCCAGCTTTCTCCCAGACTGATTCAATAGCAGTTGCCGTTGACAGGAGTCAGCATTTGGTGGCTGAGCGGTTGCGTGAGGCTGGGAGATTAACTTTTTGGGGGAAGACTTGAATAGGAAAGGAGGAAATGGAGAAGACAAAGGGGGATGACCAAGTAGCAAGCAGCTAACAGGCAGGGACTGAATATAGCTAAAAACTAAATCAGAAGAGAGGAGGTAGTTTTGAATTAGGCAGTTACTGATGGGTAAGAGCTGGAGGGAAAACATGGGACAATCAGCAGGAGAAGAAATAAAAGGAGAGAGAGTCACTACACAAATCATGGAATTAATAATATAAATGTTGAACTTCATTTGCTCATGTGTTTTCATCCCCATTCCCACCCCTCACCTCTTTGGCCTACTTCAATTGTAAGGCTATGTCTACATGGCAACATTATTTTGAAATAACTAGTGGTTTTTTGAAATAACTACTGTGGTATCTGTAGCTACCAAATATTTAACAAGGCAATAGAAAGTATATCAATCATCCAGAGCCAAAGGCCTCAAGTATCAGTTACTGAATGCATGGTGAAGAATCAAAAAGCACAGAAGAACACCCATTTGAAATCTACTCGTTAACAAAGTCCAAGTTACTCATTATGAGAAATACCTTCCCCAACTCTGATCCAAATTGTAAAAGATTTGAACCACAGATCAATACATGTATGCTGTTACAAACAGGACGGCAAGAACTTTGAGTGAAATAGCACCAAAATGTGCTGCTTGGAGAAATTTTGGTGTAATCATGAGCTATCCATTTAACACGTATGCCCTTTTTGTGAAACTTACTGGGTTTGGTGTACACAACACATAGTTATACTGCTATCAGGTTTTTGGCGTATGGGAAGATCTGCTCGTCGACCTCCTGCAGTCCTTTATCAGAAATGCATGTCATAGTTCTGTGCCGCATTCAGGAACAGACTGCCCAGGTCACAGGCTGGATGCTTTGTGATAAGCATAGGCCACAGCAGATAGGGTAGCTGTTCGCCTTGAGACTACCACCCATCTCCAACTAGATTCTCCCACCACACCCCTCACGGAGCTTCCTCTGTAGTACAGCTTGTCCTCCCACTCCAGACCCACAGCAGCTTGCCTCCACAGTACAGACACAGTTATCCTCTGACCTCTATTTGCCGCCACTGCAGATGGACACCCTTTACAGATGCCTACTTTAAGCTGAAACTCCCTGATGACCACATACAGGTCCCAGTAGCATAGACTCCCTTCCCATATGGCCTCAGCTACTTTAGTGCAGGCACTTGCACATGCAACCCACTGACAACATTTTGAAATAGTGCTTTGTACAGCTGCACCATGCTGTTGATTGCAGACCATAATCCACCAGATTCCAGAACTTCAAAGAGCATCCCTGTGCCAGGATGCCATGGGCTGTATTTAAAGAGATATTGTTTCATGAGCTCTACTGCAATATGCAGATTCACAATGGCATCTGCTACCTGTGTCCCTGCTGCTTTGCGAAGCCGTGTCATTCTCCACATTGTAGATGACTGTCCCCTGCGAGTCAGAAGAGAAGTGACTGACCACAGACTCATGGTGTGAGTGTCTATAGGGACAACTGTCTGTAGAGGAGTCTGTCCTGGTGTCACTCGAGATGGAGGGCTCCCTCCCTAATTAAGAAAGTAATGGCAAATGTCAGCCTCTATTTGGAATATACAAATCAGGAGAGTTTATGACAGGAATAGAATGGAAAAAACCAAACCAAAGCAAATAAGCAGGTGTATAAACAAAGAGATACAAAAGAACAGCCTACACAAAATTCACAGATTCAAAGATGGTAGAGTTGACTGGAAGGAGACTCATGTCATCTGGTCTGATCTCTTTTCATCTAGGGGAGAGGTCAAAAATACATTTTTGCATAAACCTGACTTTTATTTAAATGCCTCCAAGTTTGCTAAATCACCTCATGATGAAAACTGCCTATATCCAAGTGAACGGTCAACAAATTAATTCCAAGATGATTTTGTTCTTTATTAATGAACAAGCCTATTAGCAAAATTAAACTGCAGAACGGATTCCTACAGGGTATCACAGAGGCAAAAAACTAAGATTCTAAAAGAGAATTGGAGATTTATATGGATAACAAGAATATTCAGAATTATAATAGTTAATTATAAGAACTTTCAAAAAAGACATTAAACTTCATACATAAGTGTTTAAACCAACCTGTTAAATAGGGCATATCTGATTCAAGGTATCTATCCTCTTAAGCATTTAGTGCTGGCAGCTATTGAAGGCAGGTTCCTGTACTAAGTTGAGAACAAGTCTGATCGAGTGTGACATTTTTCCTGTCCCTAACCCCTTTAAAATATATAGTCAGATTTCTCTGTCTTTTTTCCCCTCTGTCTGCAGGAAAAATACTTTGAATAGCTTATAGAATTGTGTGTATGTACAACATACCCATCTATACATATGTACACGTGATGAAACTAAAGAAATGCAAAACTGAACACATGAGCTCTCTGGTTACATAATCAGTTAGTTCCGTGGCCACTTTGGTTTCTTCTGGGAGCAGAAGAATATTCAGAATCAAATTTCTGTGAAAGTTGTCTTCTAGACTCACAAGCCTCTCCTTTTGGTTAAAAGTTTTGTCGTTCTTGTGCAATATTGTGGGAGATCGCAGCCATCAAAGAACAGATGATCCTGGATAGTCAAAGACCAATACCATGGAATACTTTGAGTGTCAGGGCACAGAGCTTGAAACGGACTCTTTATTCAACAGGAAGCCAAACACCTCAGGGAGACATTGCAGGACAATGTACAGAGAGGTTTGTGACAGTACCAAGTTGATGGTGTCTCCAAAGAGTGTGGCTTCAGTAGTAAGTATGATGAGATACAGTGATTAGCCAGAAGATCTGCTTCCCTTTGGATAGGGTGCAATATGATGGACAACTACAGATGGGCAGACTGATTTAATCAGAGGTCAGAAAAAAAATTAACTGAGATTGTAGAGAACACAGGTTCTTTGAAGCATTTCTCTCCCTCTCTCTCTCTCTCTCTCTCTCTGAGCACCATGCCAATTTGTCTGGGTTCAGCTTTAGCCAATGCTCTGTGTGTTTATTTTAGGCCAGACATTGTAACTTATGGAGCTATAGTTTGGAAGAGGGAGGTTTAAGAATTAAAATACTGAGGATCTCTCTCAGGACTCTACTTCAGCTTTGGTCAGTGACTGAAACCCACTTAGTAAATATCACCCAAAATGAAGCAAACATTTTCAAACAGAAAGGCTAGTATGGAGATGAGCATAAAGCATCCAGTTCAGACTGTTTACCTGAGTCCTCGCTGTCATAGCAAGTCCTGCTATACTGCTGTAATTCCACCGGAGGGGGCAAGTCTTGCACTGACACTGGAGTGCCTCTCGGATCTGCATAAAGCAGCAGTAAAGGCTGATAATGACCTTTGATGCACTTGGTCACAACATCTTTCCACTTTGGACCAATCTGTATTAAAAATCAGGAAAAAAACCACACTGCTCAGGTTTTCTAGTTACTTCTCTCTTTTCTCTCAGGCAAACCAAGAGGCTGGTTCTTAATCCCTTCATATGCTGCATTGTACAATCCTCTGCCCTGCACACCTGCCTCCTCTTAAGATTCTGGCCAACGTGCTAGCGACAAATGATAAGTGATCATAATAAAGCTGCACTCATTCTTCCCAGAGCCCCACTCTACAGTCACCTGCTGAAGCATTTTGTGCTTGGTATAAATTCTGAAATGTTACTGAAAGTAAAGATGTTAATTAAAATGGACATTTCTGTGCCTTCTTCTGACAGCCACCATACTGCGGAAAAGGGACATAATTTGTGATACCAGCTGGACAGCAGCCTAATGTTAGCAGAGATCAGCACCAGTTTAGGTCTTGTTTTGATAATGCAGATATTTGATGTTTTATAAATTACTGTTTGTTAGAACATAGGCTTATACTAATGTTCTCTCAAATACAGTTTATTCATGTTAAGAAAAACTTGTTAGCATATAACATCTCAATATTTCACTATCCAATATCAAGCCACATTTTTAATATTATCTCTTTGGTACAAATGATTATCAATTAATCATAATTTACAAGATGCATTAAGTTAAAAAAAAAAAGATTATCCACAGATTTCCAACATTGGGATTAATTGTGAGCACAGGAAACATTGGATAAGTATTTATCCAGCATGCAAGTGGTTAAGCTCCTTGCTGTATAATCATTTCTTTTTCAAAAGGTCAGCATGACTGTATTTTCCATTTTGGTGAGCCAGACTTTAATTCTTCCAGCCAGTATTCATTTGAAAACACTTCCCTAATGTTTTAGTACAAGTTTTTTGAGATGCACAGATCATCTGCTCCATCAGGGCTGCTCCTTACACAAGTATTCGGATATTGTACTGTATTACCCTTGGCAAGGTTTCACTGCAAAGGAACGTGACCAATGAGGTGAGAAGTGCTTCTCCATGGCTGCTACAGCTCCAGCAAGCACAGCCAGGGGACAAGTGCGTGTCACCCAGCTGGGGCATGTTCAGGTTCATCTGTCCCCTGCCCTCCTCACCCAGAGTGAAGAATGCAGCAAAAAGTGTACTTTCCCCTCACTCCCTCATGAAAAGGGAACAGTCAGCAATGTGCCCAGAATAAATCCAGGGTAAGAGGATGGTGAGGGAGCTTCAGACCCCCACTGTCCCTGCAGGGCACCTGGAAGGTGGAACGCTCAGGACTGGAGCAGTCTAGGATGAGACGAATGCCCCGAGCCAGCCCTTTCACCTGTCTGTTGATTCTGTCTCTTTTCAGTTTGGTTTTATGAGAAACAATCCCATTCTGGGCACATCTCATTTTCCTGGAACAACCAAACCTTTATCTTGCCTTCAGTTAGAAGAGGAAGCTGCATACCAAATGTGCTGGTCCTAGCTCTTATCATTTAGGAGGAGTTCTTAGACAGACAAACTCTCTTAAATATATAGTAGATATAAATATTGTATTTGTGTGTACATCTTTTTCTAAATCTTTTTAGTTAAATTGGTGCTTATCAAAGATACTGGATCACTAGCCCTAGAACAGGAACAGAGGAGTAAAAATTCTCCACAATACCCTACCATTCAATTTATTCCTGACCTAAGTGAGCACTTCTAAGGTTATTGTGCTAGTTCCAAAAAGTGCTGTGTAAGAGCTAGATGTTAATTATTAATATTATAGCTGGGGCTAATCTGCAGAGACAGTCAAAAGAAGGTGCCATTGTGCTAGCAGTAGTTTTGTGAAGTAGTTTTCTTTTTACTGACTCCTAGACTAAGATGTCGTACTGATTACAAATAGGCCAATGGGGTGAGGTCTCAACCTGCAAAGCCTTTTTATTCCCATTCTCAATCCCCTGAGCTAGTGTCAGAGGACATGTCTACACTGCAGTTACAAACCTGTGGCTGGCCCGTGCCAGCTGGCTGGGCTAGCAGGGTGCAGGCTAAGGGGCTATGTCACTAGGGTGCAGATATTCGGGCTCAGGCTCTAGGTCTGGATCGTGCAAAGAGGAAGATGTCCCAGAACTCTGAACATTTACACTGCAGTGAAACAGCCCCCTAGCTGCAACTCAGGTCAACCACCACTAGTCAGCTGCAGGTGGCTCTTTGCAGTGCAGGCATCCCCGAAGAAGCATTGAATGGAGCATAGGATACTTGGTCAGGGCAGGTGAGTTCTATTCCTAGCTCAGCAACACATGTGCTGTGTGACTTTGGGGAACACATTTCACCTCTGTTTCCCTTCGCATCCTTTCTTGGTTTAGAGATCATCAAGCTCAATGGGTCCTAATCTTGCTTAGAGCCTTTAATACACGTGTATTTTAAATATTCTTTAAATTACAGTGATAAGGTCCTGATTTATATCCCATGTCACTCCGGTGATCTAATGACCGGTGATCTAATGCCCAAACTGAGTGATTGGGCAACAAAATGGCAAATGAAATTTAATGTGGATAAGTGTAAAGTAATGCACATTGGGAAAAATAACCCCAACTATATGTACAGTATGATGGGGGCTAATTTGGCTACGACAAATCAGGAAAGAGATCTTGGAGTTCTCTGAAAACTTCCATGCAGTGTGCAGCGGCGGTCAAAAAGGCAAATAGGATGCTAGGAATTATTAGGAAAGGGATAGAAAATAAGACCCAGAATATCTTACTGCCCCTGTATAAAACTATGGTACGCCCACATCTTGAATACTGTGTACAGATGTGGTCTCCTCACCTCAAAAAAGATATTTTGGCCTTGGAAAGGGTTCAGAAAAGGGCAACTAAAATGATTCGGGGTTTGGAACGGTTCCCATATGAGGAGAGGTTAAAGCGACTGGGACTTTTCAGTTTAGAAAAGAGGAGACTGAGGGGGTATATGATAGAGGTCTATAAAATCATGAGTGGTGTGGAGAGGGCCGATAAAGAAAAGTTATTTATTAGTTCCCTAAATAGAAGAACTAGAGGACACCAAATGAAATTAATAGGGAGCAGGTTTAAAACTAATTAAAGAAAGTTCTTCTTCACACCGCGTGTAGTCAACCTGTGGAACTCCTTGCCAGAGGAGGCTGTGAAGACTAGGACTATAACAGAGTTTAAAGAGAAGCTAGATAATTTCATTGAGGTTAGGTCCATAAAAGGCTATTAGCCAGGGGATAAAATGGTGTCTTTGGCCTCTGTCAGAGGCTGGAGAGGGATGGCAGGAGACAAATCGCTTGATCATTGTCTTCGGTCCACCCTCTCTGGGGCACCTGGTGCTGGCCACTGTCGGCCGACAGGATACTGGGCTAGATGGACCTTTGGTCTGACCCAGTACGGCCATTCTTATGTTCTTATATTCTAAAAAGGGAATGGTTTACAGCTTTCCCTTAGACACTGTGCTTGATGAGATTATGGAAGAAAGCTTTCCTTTTTACTTCTGAGCCTTTGTGATGAGGGGAAATATAAGGAGAGGGGCATGAGATGAAGCCCAATGAACTAATGCAATGTAATAATCATGTGCCAAGATCCCAGTGCTGATGGCTTTGATGCCAGGCATTTCATCACAGGCGGGGGGAGGGAAGGGGGAGCACTGGTAAAGAGAGGGATGAATGATGTGCCTCAGGGAACAGCTACTAGAGAGGAATTGCATCCAGAAATTTCAGCTGTGAACCTGAAGAGCAGGGACTCAATAACAATACCATTTGTTGGGGCATGGGAGGGGCTAAGAGGTGGGGTTTGAGAAATGTATCCATGGCCTCAGGTGAATTATAAGATTCCAACCAACAGCATAAAGGCAAGACTGGCAAGCAATTAAACACAACCAGAGTGAGGGCATCTGGGCCCGCTAGTATCACTGAACAGTTGTCAGTTTACCAGGTACAGGTTGCCATGGAGGTCTCTGCTATACAGAAATTCACAGCTGTTTCAACTTTTGTCATCAGCAGTGCAGGCACTAAGAAATCCAAGAAAGGTCAACAGAAATGAAAGAGTTTGAGGTGACACCACGAAGATCAGAAATAATGTAGATCAGGGGACTCTCCCCTCACATAATCAGAAGATATCTTTGAACAGAGAAGAAACAGAATCCTGGGCACTTTCATTTTTCTCTTCTTCTCTTTCCCCTTCTGAGTTCCTCAGACTCTTTACACTCTTCTCATTAAGCCTTTTTATTTTTTATGATTCTCCCATTTTGAGTGGGTCATCCTCTTTTGCAAAAATCAGGTCTTCTGGAGAAAACATCTCCACAGGATTTACAGAAAGCATGAGTTTGTTCAGAGAAACCTTTAGGAGCAATGGAGTTAAGTAGGACCTCAGATGTGAGAACACAAAGTTTCTGAAATCTTTGGAAAGCAGCATGGATCTGCTTCTCCACCAATACCCAAAGGGTTCTTAGCATTTACAAAAATAAAGCTTCCATTTCCTTACCTCTTTGACATGGGCATCATCAAAGTACATCCACTTTCGGATCTTCGTTTGGAAGAAGAAGGTGGAGTAATGTTTTCCATAGTAACAGATCATTCCCACCAAATATAGTTCTGACTGCTTTGCTCTGTCATCAGTTACCCTAAAAAAGAGCTTCAAGAGGTGCACAAAAGTAAAGAGAGGGAGAAAAATTATGCAAAACTTGTGCTCATTGTTTCATCTGAAGAGCTAACAATGATTTTCAGACCCATGGTAAGTGTTATACACCATTTCCCCAGACTGAGCAAGTGAATCATAGAACAGTTAAATGATTGGCCTACCGTCATATGGCAAATCAGTGGCAGAATCCAGGGCCCTGACACTTATCCCACAATTGCCTTGTAAACAGGGCATTTATATCTATGATGTAATCTTCGATTAGACTTTAAAGTGTATTTCTGCTCTGAAAATTAATAAACATGGATCTTTCTTACTCAACAAAAAGCCTAGTCCCTATGTGCTCTCTGTTGTAGCTGCTGGCTTTACTTGGTGACTTTTAAACATTAGTCTTTACTTCCCCCTCTGGGCAACCAACTCCGCTCTGATATGCAAGAAGGAGCTGAAGTCTGTTCTTGCTCTAGCAAGAGCAAATTTAAGTCAGTGGCCTTGCAGAGGTACAACTAAGGGCTACAGTAGTGGAGGTGCTGCCCTTCAAATCCTAATTTTCAGGCCAGGCAGTCAGAAAAATCATCTGCTGACTTAAATTTGGGGAAAAAATCATTTAGAATTGACAGACTCATAAAAAAAATATTCTGGAGTCACTTTTCAATGCATTACTGACTGATTTATGTTTTAAGAGATAAATCTTGTTCTCAAGAGATGCATCTGCAACTTAGTGCAGATCCATGCCAAGTAGTTTAATTCGTTTCTCAGGCCTGATCTATACTTCAAAAGTTAAGTCAACATATGCTGCATTAGGTTGAGACAGTAATGTGTCTGTCCACACTACTGACCCCTTCTGCTGATGTCAAGGGCTTTTAAAATCGACTCCTGTACTGCACCTCTGAGAGAGGCACAGCGCTTCAGTTGACATTAATGTGTTGATTTAATTTCAAGGGACTGGCCTCCAGCGGTGTCCTAGAGTGCTCTGCTGTGACTGCTCTGTAGAGGACTTTCAGCTCCACTGCACTTCAGCCAAGTACACAGGAAAAGCTCTGGTGAACTTCTGAATGTTCGTTTCCTGTTTGATCAATGTGGAGAGCTCACCAGCACAGCTGACCATGCATGGCGAGCTCCAGCATGAAGTGTACAGGAGCTGACTGCTCTGTGGGGAGAAGAATCAAGGGCAGGCAGAGCTCTGAACCAGCAGAAGAAACGCTGACATCAAAGCCAAATTGCACAGGCATGGGAAAGCAGGGCTAGACCAGGAACACACAACAGAGTGTGTGAAAATAAAGGAGCTTAGACAAGAATATATGAAGATAAGGTAGGTAAATAGTTGCCCTGGTTCTGAGTCACAGACATGCTCCTTGCATGAGGTACTGACCCCATAAGTTTCCCAAAGCTCTCCAAGGATCCCTCCCAGGTGCCCCAGGTGGCCTTGGGGAAAAATGAGGACATTGCTGATGAGGAAAAGGAGGAGACTGTGAGGCAGGCAAGCAGAGGATCCACTCTCCTCACCAACCCCGAACCTTTTCCTAACTTTGGAGCCACCTCCCTCTGACCCTGCCCCAGACCTACTGTTGTTGGACTGTGATGGCAGGGAAGGTACTCTGGTGAGTGCACATTTATAATCACACTATAGGGGCTAAATGCTATTGTTTTTAACGTGTAATCTGAGGTGAACAAGCACCCAGTTCACTCAGCATGCTCAGGTTGAGTGGTGGTGTAGTTTACAGGGCAGCACATGCAACAATGGGGGCAGCTTGGTAAGGAACATCACTGCAGGTCATTCATGAAACTGATTCTCAAAACCATAAAAACACAGCGCCCCTTCTCATTTCCCTGGGGTGTCTGGCCGCCAGCTGATCTACCTCATCCCCCAGAACACCCTAACCTTTTCCTCCCTTGCTTTCATGGATACAATGACACACACAGCAAGCAGCAGCAACAAGAGGACTATTGGTTTTACTGAGGTCTAGCCTAATGAGCAAACTCTGCCAGTGTGCCTTAAAATATCCAAAGGCACATTCTACCACCATTATGCACTTGTTCAGTTTATATGGCTGTCCAGGCTGCCTGTGTACAGCCTCATGAGCTATTGGAGCAAGGGGTAGGCTGGGTCTGCAAGGATCACTATTGGCATTTCAACATCACCAACAGTAATTTTATCTGGAAAAGAAGTTCCTTCTTGCATCTTTCTGAAGAGGCAGGAGTTCCTAAAGATGTGCGCATCACGTACCTTTCCCATCCACCCCACGCTCATGTCAGTGAAAAAGCCCTTGTGCCTGCAACACCATTGAGAAGTATCCCTTGCAGTTTATGTACTCTTTGGCAAGGTGATCTGGTGCCAAGACAGGTGTATCTGTTCTATCTATTGCCCCACCATAGTTAAGGAACTCCATCGTGGCAAAATCATCCACTAGGTCCTGCATGTTTCCCAGAGTCACTACCCTGCCTAGCAGAATTGTATTGATCGCTTTGGCTACTGCATGTCAGGACTGGGGAAGCACTTGGCACAGTTCCATCCAAGTGCTCTTATGCATATAAAAGTTCTGCAGCCACGCTCATCCCATAGCTGCATAACTACACAGTCCCTCTAGTCAGTGCTTGTCTCCCAGGACCAGAAGCAGCATTCCATCCTGTCAAAAAGTGTGACTGTTGCCAGCATCTGCAAATTGTTCCATTCCATGGCTTCCAGCCCGCCTGTTTGTGTGGCATCACATTCTTCTTCACAACAGTTCCTGTCTAGGCTCTGCAAATCCACAGGGTAAAGCATGAGGCATACAGCTGAGCAGGGTCAATGCTTACCATGCTTTGGCATCTGCACAGGTAACCCAGGCTTAAGAAATAAGTTGCAAAAATGATGGCTTGCCATTGATTTGAGAGAGAGAGGCAGAGGCAAGTGCATTATAGGAGGCTAGCATATACCCATAATCATCTGTGAAAAGGTTTTTGGCCCATGAGGCATTGAAGAGCCTACCACAGAATTCCAATCAGCTCCAGGAACTGAGAGCTATGAGCCCAATAATGAGGATGTGGCTCTGTACGTACTAGGGACATGCAGAACTGAACTTGTTAAATCAGAGGCTCCATGTTCATTTTAATAAAAACCAGCCTAACTTTGTAATGTAGACATACTCCCAGTGTCAAGTGAATCACCAGTGATAATTCCTAGTATGTGGAAATCAACAGTTTAAACCTCAAATTTGATATTTTAAAAGTGCTAACACCTCAGAAGAAATGACCTCCAGAGACAAACTACAATAAAATATAGCCATATTCAGTCACTGAGAAATTTAAGATACTACATAAAACAATCTCCCACAGTCTGGTGCGTTATCTCTAAAATAATCCCAGAGCCATGATCAAATCCCTGGATGGGGTTACTTAGGAACAAGTTTTTAAAAAAAACCAAACCAAACATACCACACCACAATTTGGCTTCATTACAAATACAGATAGGAATCACTATTGTTCAAATGAAAAGAGCCCTACAAATAGTGGAAGAGAAACAGACAAATAATTTGGACCAAAATTAAAATCAGAAAATCCCCCTGAATGTGGGAAAAATTTGGATTCAGATCTAAAATTAGCACTCAGAGTCATTCTCAATTTTTAAGAACCTAATGTGACATTAAGAATATACAATTATTAGAATTAACATTTTAAAATATATGATTAAGAATATACAACTGCAAATGTTTTTACAAGTGAACAGCACAGACAGGTCCTGGGAAAAGGGGATTTTTAGACTGTCAAATATGCACTAGACTCACATCTCCCAGTTTGAGGCAGGTGCCCAGGCTGTGAATGACATCCTCAGCTAGATCAGAGTGGTCTGAATCCCATACCAGCCCAATGGTGATGATCTGGGGAGAGTTCATTAGCACACGACGGATACGTATCTTTTCCCCACAGTTACTCTGAAATGAAACAAAAATCCACAGGGACTTTTTTTATAACTAAAATTGAATGTATAATTTTTTTATAACTATACAACTTCACAGTTGACTGTAGTGCCACAGCAGGGGCTTTTCTCTTACTTCATATGGAACGCGGCTGGAATACAGAAGATTCTACATGCTCAATATAGGAAGATGTGGAAGAGAAGAGCCAAGTCTATGTGAAGGCTAATGCCAAATTCTGCCCGGTATGCACAAACTGTTGTGTGAAGAGCCCATTCTTTTCAGGTGAAATATACAAATAAAAGGGTATGGGTGAAACTGGAGGGTGCTCAAGATTCCAGTGGGCATTGGAAGGATGGCTCGCTTTCACATATACAGGCAGTCCCAGACTTACGTGGATCCGACTTATGTCGGATCCGCACTTACGAATGGGGCTTTTCTCGCCCCGGAGCTCACGGGCGGCGGGACCGCCCAGAGCGCAGCGGTCCCGCCACCGCGTCCTCCGGGGCGAGAAAAGCTGCTCCGGGTCTCCCTGGTGTGCTGGGGGGGACTCCCCAGCACAGCAGGGAGACCCGAGCAAAGCTGCACAGGCGGCGGGGTCCCCCACCTGTGCGGCTTTGCTCGGGTCTCCCTACTGTGCTGGGGGGGTCCCCCCAGCACACCAGGGAGACCCCGAGCAGCTTT